CATCTGGAGCGTGTCAGCAGGATGGAAAGACTGAGAAGATGGGGAGACTGAAGACTGCAATATTAAGCAGGAAAGAATCAGTTTTCTCCCTCTGCAACATCCATGTGGACCAGCCCACCTTTGGATCACCTGCTTTCTCTCTCAGATGTCCTCACAGGTCACTGTTTTCCTTCAAGATGGGCCTTCCCTATCTAACCAATGGTACTGGAATTTCCAGCAGTCTCCATTCAAGCAGGAACCAGACCTGACCTGATATGACTTCTGAGGCTGGCTAACTGCTCCACCTGCACTCAGCTGTGTTGACAACCCAGCCGGAGGGGGAAAAAAATCCCTCTGTGATTCACCTCTGTTGATGGGAAAATAAGCCCTTCCCTTATTATCGAAGGTTATCTCTCAGTACAAATGCCTCCCTAACAATGATTTCAATCTGGAATAAAAAATAATGATCAGTTTTCAAAAATTTTAATGCATAAAAATGCACAACGTCTCAGCCTACAGGTCGAAGGTAAAGACGAAAAAAAAATCATGTTTAGGTAAGGAAGAAAAAAGCATTTGCAATGTACATATTTCACCACGCATGTTTCCGGCCCTAAAATGGGCATCTGGGCTAGCAAGCCCATCCCCACAACTCCCTAGGGCAGGGGTAGGCAACCTTGGCTCTTTTATGACTCGTGGACTTCAACTCCCAGAATTCCTGAGCCAGCTATGCTGGCTCAGGAATTCTGGGAGTTGAAGTCCACGAGTCATAAAAGAGCCAAGGTTGCCTACCCCTGCCCTAGGCCTTACCCTTGGTCCAACATAGGCTCTCAGAGGAGGTAAGCCAGAGAGGTAAGCTAAGATGATGATGATGATGATGATGATGATGATTATTACTATTATTATTATTATTGTTATTATTAATAATAATAATAATAATAATAATAATAATAATAATTATTATTATTATTATTATTATTATTATTACTATTATTATACGAGGACCACAGTAGTAACATATAAACCCAGGGCCCCCATCTCTCTCCATGGGCTTCCAGGCGGCAAAAAGGAGAGCAATCGGGGCTTCGCACCGGAGTCGGGTGGGCGAAGGAGAAAAACCGGAGGAAACCGGGAGAGGCAAACAGGCGATGCTCGAAAGCGTCGGGGCAGGGAGGAGAGGGAGGAGAGGGGGAGAAGGGGATAGAGGGATGGATGGATGCCTCCTTTCCCTCCACCACCCCCCGCCCGCCCGCTCGCTCGCTGCGCAGCCCCGCCTCCTACCTGATTTGGGGTAGGTAACAATCCAGACGTCGCTGTCTCGCACGGGGAAATTGGTGATCTCCTCCATCTTTCCGCGGCAGAAGGGCGGCAGGCGCACCCCGTTGTACTCGAAGTACTTGCTCTCGAACTCCCCCGGAGTGCTGGGGGTCTCGCACTCGCTCTCCGCCATCCTCCGCCTCTGCCTGCCTGCAGCCGAGCAAAACCGGGAGCCAGCTGCTGCAAGGGCGCGCCCGCAGGGATGCTGCCTTCCCGGCGCGAAAAAGGGGCCCGCCCGCCTGCCTGCCCTGTAGCTCGCTCGCTCGCTCGTCCGCCCGCCCGCAGCTGGTTGCCAGCTCTGGACAGCGGCAGCTTTGCGCTCCGCGCGGGCCAAGCAGGAGCCGGCCTTCAGCGAATGGGCTCCGGGGGCGATGATGTAATGCGACGTCGCTCAAGAGGCGGCCAGGAGGAGGAAGGAGGAAGGAGGGAGGCGGAGGCCGCCGCCGCCGCGGCACAGCAGAGCCGAGCCAGCCCGGCTTAACCCTCGGCGTGCCTGGCGTCTTTCGCAGTGCTGCCCCCCCCCTCCCCCGCCTGGCCCGGGGTCGGGGAGCGAAGCGGGGTGCTCGCAGGCGGCCTTCCTTTGCGACACGCCCAGGAGGAACCCCGCACGAGAACCCGTGTTGCACGTCGGCCGGGTTCCCACAACCCTCAGGAGACGCTGACCGAATCTAAACCGGGAAGACCGGGTTCTTATGAATACCTCCCCACACGGCAGCAAAGCCACTGAATCCTCAGGGAGCAAAGAGGCTCTCTGACCAACGGTGGCCTCAGTCACATTTTGCAGTCCCTTCTCACAATACTTGTGTAGTCCCAACGATCGATTGTGTCGTAAAAGAAAACCAAGATGAGTGGCATTAACACAGAATATAAAGGCTTGGAAAGCTGAGATAGGAACCTTTATCTTGGTGATCTGGCATCTGAATGTATTATTACCAGATCTGACACTGCTTAGCTTTGGGGGAAATCGGCTAAATTAATCAGTGTTTCTCAACCTTGACAATTTTAAGGCATGTGGACTTCAACTCCCAGAATTCCACAGCCAGCATTGCTGGCTGTGGAATTCTGGGAGTTGAAGTCCACATGCCTTAAAATTGTCAAGGTTGAGAAACACTGAGCTAAATCAAAGCTAAGAGACAAGCTTCCCACCCTAGCACAAATACAACTTTGTGGTGGCGCTGTGGTTAGAATGCAGCAGTGCAGGCTGACTCTTGCTGGCTGCCAACCAGCAGTTTGACAGTTCAATTCTCGCCCGCTCAAGGTCGACTCAGCCTTCCATCCTTCCGAGGAAGTGGTGTATATATATATATAAGTCTAAGGTAGTGCTATTGCTATTCTTTCGACTCTTTAAGCTGATTGTGAGAACACAAACTTTTGTGGGCCTAGACCCGTTATTGATTTTTAAAGTTGCTTCGGGGAAAAAGCTCACACGGTGTGCTCAGTCACAACTTCTTCGCTGTGGCTGATTAAATAAATCACATTGAACGACGATCTTCCAAAAATGGTGCTCTAAGTATCTGGGAACGTGGATTTACAGACGGCTGTTACGTATAAGCTGGGTTGACAAGATCAGAAATGAGAAGGTGATAAGCCGCCTGGGAAAGCCAAGGGAAATCATCAAAACAATTAAAAAACAAAAATTAGAATATTTCGGACAGGTGATGCGACACCCAGAAAAATACGGCATACTCCATTTAATCCTCCAGGGAAATATTGAAGGCAAACGAGGTCCAGGCAGAAGAACAACATCATGGCTTCAAAATCTAAGGGACTGGTTTGGACAAAACTCAGCAGCACTTTTTTGTGCGGCTGCTGATAAAAACAGGATTGCCAACGCAATCGCCAACATCCGATAACGGATATGGCACAAGAAGTAGTAGTATCTGGAAGGTTTTTTCCCCTGCTGACAAACAGCTGATTCCACTATCAAAGCTGGCTCTTTGGTGGCACTCGCTCCCTAGATCAGAATGGGAGCAACTACCAGTAGGAACAACCCCAGGTGACTTTCGGACGGTAGTATAATTTCCCACAAAGAGGAACCTGGATGGTTGCAATACACAGTAAAAATGGGTGGCGAGTTCGGTCTCCATCTTTTCCTATCAACTGCG